ATATAGTATTCTTGGCTGCATATTTTTCTCGTTTACTGCTCTGAAGATATCTTGCCAGTCCTTTCTGGCCTGCCAGGTCTCTGTGGATAGGTCTGTTGCCAATCTAATATTTCTACCATTGTAAGTTACATATCTCTTCTTCCGAGCTGCTTTCAGGATTTTCTCTTTGTCTCTGGGACTCGTAAGTTTTACTATGAGATGTCGGGGTGTTGACCTATTATTATTGATTTTGAGAGGGCTTCTCTGTGCCTCCTGAATTTTGATGCCTGTTTCCTTCCTCACATTAGGGAAGTTCTCTGCTATTATTTGCTCCAATATACCTTCTGCCCCTCTCTCTCTTCTTCTTCTGGGATCCCAATTATTCTAATGTTGTTTCGTCTTATCGTATCACTTATCTCTCGAATTCTGCCCTTGTGATCCTGTAGTTGTTTATCTCTCTTTTTCTCAGCCTCTTTATTTTCCATCATTTGGTCTTCTATATCACTGATTCTCTCTTCTGCCTCATTTATTGAGGCAGCAGTTAGTGCCCCCATTTTTTGATTGCACCTCATCAATAGTCTTTTTGATTTCGACTTGTTTAGATTTTAGTTCTTTTATTTCTCCATAAAGGGTTTCTCTGATAACTTCCACACTTTTTTCAAGTCCAGCTAGTATCTTTAAAGTCATGATTCTGAACTCTAGGTCCGACATCGTACTAATGTCCGTATTGAGTAGGTCCCTGGCTGATGGTACTACCTCTTGTTCTTTTTGCTGAGGTGATTTTTTTCATCTTGTCATTTTGTCCAGAGGCGAATAGATGAATGAGAGAACAAAATGCTAACAGGTTAACAACGTCCCCAGCAAATATACTGTATACAAATCAGAAAAGGCCTGAAACCAGGGGAAAAGAAAGGGAAAGAAAGAAAAAAGAAAGAGGGAAAAAAAAGAAAAAAAAAGATAAAAACAAAAACAGAACAATACAAAAAAAGCAGAATATGATCAAATATGATCAGGCTAGTGCATAGATCAATGACACACACTAGATTTTGGGCATATTTTGGTCTGTTAGAAAAAAGTGCCTCCTAAAATTTTAAAGGAAGAAAGACATATATGTACAAAATAAGGGTTGATACAATGAAGGGATGGAAGATGACTGTAAAGATGAAAATTATAAAAGATTTTATAAAAGGAATTGATAAGTTGTTTGAAAAAAGAAAGAAGAAGATTTAAAAAAAAAAAGAAAAAAGGGAGAGAATGTGATCAGGCAGGAGACTAGAACAAAGCCATACACTAGTGATTTAGGGTATATTTTGATCTGTTAGAAGAAACTATCTCAAAATTTTAAAGAGAGAACAACTTATATATATATGCCAAAAATAAGGGTAACTACTACGAAGGGGTAAAATATGACTCTAAAAATGAAAAATAAAAAATGTTTTTTTTAAAAAAGGGATTGATAAGATGTTGGTTGAAAAAGGGAAAAAGAAAAATTAAAAAAAAAAACAGTTAAAAAAATTAACTTTGATGAACAAATGAATCATGGTAAAAAAAAAAGCCATGAATTCTATGTGCAGTATTCCCCTAGCGCTGGAGTTCTCCCGTTCTCCTTGATCGGTAAACTTGGTCTTGGCTTGCTGGCTGTTCATGCTGATCTTCTGGGGGAGGGGCCTGTTGCCGTGGTTCCCAAATGTCTTTGCCGGAGGCTGAATTGCCCCGCCCTTGTCGGTCCGGGCTAAGCAAGCTGCTCTGGTTTGCTCTCAGGAGCTTTTGTTCCCTGCAAGCTCTCGGTACAGCTCTGGAGGACCAGGGTGAAAATGGTGGCCTCCCAATCTCTGCCCGGAGGAGCTGAGAACTCGGGGCCCCGCTCCTCAGTGCGACCCCAGAGAAAAGCAGTCACTCCCGTCTCCCCGGTCTCTGGCCGCACTCCGTGCTCACCCGGCCTGTGATAGAGCGTTTCTATGTCTGGCACCCGACCCCGTGTGGAGTCTCCAAACCCAGCAGATCCTGCGGTGCGCTTCCGCGCCGCTCCTCCCGGGGGAGGAAGGGGAGTCTCCCCGCCTCTGCCGCTTGTTGGGCTCCTCCTGCTGGAGGAGCAGTGGCCCGACTGGGCCGCGGATCACAGTTTATGGCAACCCCGAGCTGAGAGCCCGCGCCTCAGCTCTGTCTCTGCAGCCGGCTTCCCCGCTCCAATACCTGGGAGCTCTGCTGTACTCAGGCACCCCCGGTCTTTCTGTGACCCCAAGGGTCCTGAGACCACACTGTCCTGGGAGGATTCCACCCCCCGCTTAGCCACTGCAGCGACGTCCCTCAGCGGAGCCGACTTCTAAAAGGTCCGATTTTGTGCTCCGCGGCTCTAGCACTTGCCAGAAGCGGCCGACGGAGGCCCCCTCCCCCGCTGTCTATGCTCCCAAATATCGCCTCGGATTCACTTCTCCGCACGTCCTACCTTCCAGTAAGTGGTAGCTTCTCTGTTCAGAGAGTTGTTGCTACTCTCCCCTTCGATCTCCTGTTGAGTTCGTAGGTGTTCAGAACGGCTTGATCCCTATTCAGCTGAATTCCTGAGACCAGACGAAATCCAGGTCTCCTACTCCTCCGCCATCCTGCTCCACCCTCAATATAATACCTTTCTTATGGGGTTATTTGAAGAACTAATGCAATTACATAAAAAGCTCAGCACAGTGCCTGGCCCATGGAGGCATCTAATCACCGTTAGCAAAAGTGGCCTCTCTCTCGTTTGTGCCCACTGCCTTGCTGTGCTCTCAGCAGCCCCCTTTACTAAGACCTTCACGCAGTCCCCTGCCTCATCCTCTCATGCTTTATTGCACGTTTTGATTGACCCACTGTCCCTCACTAAAGTATAAACTTTGAAGGGTTTCTGTGTTTGCATTCCATCTGCATTCTTACTGCCCATTATAGTGTCTGTTACCTAAGAGTAACTGGGTGTCAAATGAATGATGAGAATTTGCAATGGTAGAATCTCCATTTCATAAGCTTACATGTCAACTATCAACCCGAAGTGATCAGTACTGACTTAGTGAGTGCCTGCACTCACTCCACTCTGACAGGTAATCCCAATGACAGTCTCATTACCCAGTGATCCTATGTAAACACTGGGTTCAACCCCCTGCAATTGCTATTGTTCAAATACTGTCAATTTCGAATGGCCTGGTCTAATACTGTGTACATTTTCATTCTACCAAGATAGATTGGGGCATTCATTACCCTCATTTGGAAATGAGAAACCTGAGAGTCTCACAGGTCAGTGGCTTGCCAAGGTCCCACAGCTAATAGGTACCGGAGACAAGGCTGGACCCATCGTGAAAGCCCCAGAGCTGGTGCCCTCGGCAACTATACAGTGAGGGAAGGCTGTCCTCAGGTGCCCTTGTCTGGTTCTGAAGGCAGAGCTATGGCTCAGGAAACTACCGGAGTAAATAGAAGCACTAAACTGGCTCCTACTTTGCAAGACCACGCAGGGAGCCAGTGTGTCGGGTTCAGTGTTCGCAGGGAGGAAAGGCAGAGGCTCTGGGGCACGGGTAACAATGCAACTTTCCTTCAGACCATTCTTTTTTTTTTTTTTTTTGATTGTATTATGTTATGTTAATCACCATACATTACATCATTAGTTTTTGATGTAGTGTTCCATGATTCATTGTTTGCATATAATACCCAGTGCTCCATGCAGTACGTGCCCTTTTTAATACCCATCACCCGGCTAACCTGCCCCCCACCTCCCTCCCCTCTAAAACCCTCTGTTTTTCAGAGTCCATAGTCTCTTATGGTTCATCTCTCCCTCCGATTCCACCCCCCTTCATTTTTCCCTTCCTACTATCTTCTTCTTTTTCTTTTTTTTTAACATATAATGTATTATTTGTTTCAAAGGTACAGGTCTTTGATTCAACAGTCTTGCACAATTCACAGCACTCACCATAGCACATACCCTCCCCAATGTCTGTCACCCAGCCGCCCCATCCCTCCCAACCCCCACCACTCCAGCAACCCTCAGTTTGTTTCCTGAGATTAGGAATTCCTCATATCAGTGAGATCATATGATACATGTCTTTCTCTGGTTGACTTACTTCGCTTCAAACCATTCTTGATTGTCATTTGCCTGTGCATTTGCCAGCCTTGGCCTCAGGCCCTAATTACAATATCTTCAAACAGCAACTAAGAGATATTTCTCATTATACATGAACAGGGGAATGTTTAATGTGTGAGAACATAGGTGTTCAGAAAGCAAATCATTGGTTCAAGGTGTTGAAATGAGCGTTGTCTTTGGAGTTGTCCCTGGTGGGCTTCCAAGGGGCACGTGTTCACTGGGTGAGGTCGGTGGCTCTGAGCTTGAGGCTTTTTTTTTTTTTTTTTTTACATTTTTGAAGACGGACCAACTCAGTCTCACTCCCTCTCTCTTTAAAACCATCCTAGTTGTCATTTCAAAGTTATGGCACCCGAGGGATTACAACGTGCATGTCTTCCCCTGTGTGACTCTCAGGCGATGTTTATTTAGGATAAACATATTCGTACAACAGCCAAGAATATTGATACTGCTGAACTTTCAATAAGGTGAGTTAAGAGCTTCCAAGCTCATGTCACAGCAACTGGTGGTATAGCTCTACTTCGTTTGGGGGTCACTTTGGATTCAGAAAGACCTGGGTTTGAAAGCGTGACTTCATTACTTGCTAGTTATGCACCCTTGGGCAGATTTCTTAACATCTCCAAGCCTGAGAACTCCCCTCTGGAAAATGGCTGTGACAGCGACCTCGCCGGGTTGATATGGGGAGTTGGTTAGTTAGTATCAGTAAAGCCCAGAGCCCAGGGTTTGACAGGTCGGTCTTGTCATCCGCTCCTTGTAACCGATATGGGAGAGAATGTAAGGAAGGGCTGATGGGTCACAGCAGAAGGGATAGATGCTGGCATGGGAGGGAGGAGAGGGGGCGCTGGCAGACTCCTGCGGCAGCGAAATGACCCGCTGGTGCCAAGCGAGGGGGGCCTGCTGATGGCCTCCTTCTCCCTCTGCTTTCTAGCCCCTAAAAATGCACTGCAGGGACTGTGCCCTGGTGACCAGCTCCGGGCACCTGCTGCGTAGCCGGCAAGGCCCCCAGATCGACCAGACCGAGTGCGTCATCCGCATGAATGACGCCCCGACGCGCGGCTACGGGCGCGACGTGGGCAATCGCACCAGCCTGAGGGTCATTGCGCATTCCAGCATCCAGAGGATCCTCCGCAACCGCCACGACCTGCTCAACGTGAGCCAGGGCACCGTGTTCATCTTCTGGGGCCCCAGCAGCTACATGCGCAGGGACGGCAAGGGCCAGGTCTACAACAACCTGCAACTCCTGAGCCAGGTGCTGCCACGGCTGAAAGCCTTCATGACCACGCGCCACAAGATGCTGCAGTTTGATGAGCTCTTCAAGCAGGAGACTGGCAAAGACAGGTAGAGGGCGCGGGCTGGGGAGGGGCAGGGCCACAGGGAAGGGCGAGGACATGGCCTCTCTGGCCAAGTCACCCAAAGCAAAACGTTGGCTAAGGCTTTTTGTGGTGGCCCCACTGCTCATGCCATTGATAGAGCCCGCCTCGAGGGGGTCCTAGTTGCCCAGATGCTCAAACTGAATTTCTAAGACAAAGTGAATGAAGCACTGAGACACTGTGTGGATAATTTGAGGCCAAGGCCCTATTTTGGAGGAACAGGTTGTACAGCTGCTGGTTTACCCTGGTAGTAAGTGCAAGATAATAGTTTTATTGCATTTCCTTTTACTTGTGTGAACACTGACACACGGAGGGTATGGGTTTATTCTTCCTTTTCGAAGCAAACATGTATTCAGTCCACTGATATTTATTGAGTACCTACCCCTCCACTGCAGCATGCACTGGGGATATAGTCGAAAACAGGACAGAGATAGGCCCTCACTTCCTGGAATATAAAGTTTAACCGGGGGGCGCCTGGGTGGCTCAGTTGTTAAGCGTCTGCCTTCAGCTCAGGTCATGATCCCAGGGTCCTGGGATCGAGTCCCACATCGGGCTCCCTGCTCCGCAGGAAGCCTGCTTCTCCCTCTCCCACTCCCCCTGCTTGTGTTCCCTCTCTCGCTGTGTCTCTCTCCATCAAATAAATAAATAAAATCTTTTAAAAAATAAAAATAAAGTTTTACCAGGTGGGCAAATATTCACCAGGGTGTAAGCATCATGCAAGTGAAAGAAAATGGTGCTGTGACATGCAGGACAGGGGGCCTGCCACAGTCTAAGGCAAAGTTTTCCAAACTATCTGTTGCAGCTCAGTAATGGGACATGAAATCAATGTAGTCAGTAACTAAGATTTTTTTTAAAGACTTTATTTATTTATTTGACAGAGAGAGACACAGCGAGAGAGGGATCACAAGCAGAGGGAGTGGGAGAGGGAGAAGCAGGCTTCCCGCTGAGCAGGGAAGCCCGATGTGGGACTCGATCCTGGGACTCTGGGATCATGACCTGAGCAGAAGGCAGACGCTTAACGACTGAGCCACCCAGGCGCCCTGTAAGATTTTTTTTTTTTAATGCAGTGAAATAGGATGGAATGGAATGGAATCGAACCATCAATATCAGCTTTCATCCCATATAAAAATACACTATAAGGTTTTTTGAGGTAATGAAAATGTTCTGGAATTAGTGGTGATGATTGCACAACCTTGTGAATATACAAAAAAAAAAAAAACACTGAATTACACACTTCATTTTTTTAAAGATTTTATTCACTTATTTATTTGAGAGAGAGAAGGGGTGTGTGCATGGGGGTGGTGGAGGGACACGGGGGGAAAGTGAGGGAGAGAATCTCACACAGACTCCCTGCTGAGCGTGGAGCCCGACACGGGTCTCGTTCTCAGGACCCTGAGATCATGACCTGAGCTGAAACCAAGAGTCAGTTGCTCAAACGACTGAGCCACCCAGGTGCTCCTATTTATTTTTTTTAAGTTTTATTTATTTAAGTCATCTCTACACCCCACATGGGGCTCAAACTCACAATGCCGAGATCAAGGGTCGCATGCTCTTCAAACTTAGCTGGCCAGGCACCCCTGAATTACACTCTTTAAAAAATAAAATGAAATGAAAACCATACACATGCACATATGTATATATGCTCATGATGTAAAATGTATTTCTCATTATAGGTCAAAATATTTTGGGAAAAGCGCTCGTCTAGGATATAAGGGAATGAGGAAAAAGCTTTCTCAAAAGGATGTAGTTAAGCTGAGTCCTGGGCCAATAAGTATTTATCCAGGTAAAGAAGAAGCTGGGAAGGAGAGGGAAACCTCCTTATGGGTACAAGGGCTCGGAGGTGAGAGAATGTGCTGGCTGCAGTCGGGGGAGTGGCCCTTGACGAGGCCAAGACAAAAGGCCACTAGCTGGCCCAACCTAGGTGAAAAAGAAAGGACAGCTAGGTATCAAAAGGCGCGGTGCAATGTAATCTAAATACACAGCTCGAGGCTGGACTTTTGACTCTCCTTCACTAGTTGTGCGGCCTCGGACAAGTTACCTAACCTTGCAGTGACCTCATGAGAAAAAGGGCATAGTGACTGGGCTCATAGGACTGGTCTGCTGATTAAATTTGTTTCCTTGATTCTAAAACATGTAATTTTATAATTAATATACATTTAATGATGTAATTTACTCCCTTCTCTTACAAAAACTGTTGCTGGGTTGATTTCTCAAAACAAAAGCGACATGATAAATGAAATGAAGAACATAAAGTACTAAATCCATGGCTAGCCTAGGTTGGGCAGCTCATTATCAGAGAACAGGGTCTTAGAGAAAGACCAAAACTTTGCCCCAACTTCTTTGTGTGAAAGACCTTTCTTTTTAAATTCTGGAAACCTTGGGACCATTTGGCAGCAGGTCCAGGCCAGGGTGAGCATGGCATCTTGTGGACAGAAGAGGGGGGAGCTGGCTGCTGGCCCTGTGGCCTCCTTCTCTAGAGGCCCAGAGGACTCTGTGGTTAGCCCAGCCAGTAGATCACATAGGGGATCCTGGTCATCAAGAAATCCAATTCCTTACTGCCCTGTAAAAACCACAAACTAGAGAGACTATCACTCATTTGAATGAGTTATTTAACCAGCAGAGCATTTTATAAGGGAAGAAGAATGACAGGAGTTATTTACAGTTTCATTTTTGCTGGTTGGAAAATTTGAAATAAGTAGCCACACTCTTCAATAGAAAACACTTTCCCTCTTTTTAGTTTAATGGTTGTATGCTAAATTTAAGAATTCCTGAAACACGGCTGCAGTCTAAGCTGTTTAAGATAACTACACACTGCTCTGGATATTCTTAAGGGATCATTTTAAGTTGATAACTTGGAGACCAGTCATTCCATCCTTTGGTCACTTAGATCTTTAGGAAACACACTCACATGGAGACATATCCTGTTCACTAAGCTTATTAAATTCTGACCAGTGAAAACTTTGTTCAGTGGGTCTGTCTCCCTGGTGAGCCCAGCTGGTAGAGGGAACCAAGTCTTCGTGGACTGGCTACTGGGCCTCTCACGTGCAAACACCCATCCACAAGGATCCATACAGTCCCTTTTCAGGGGAATCACACTTATGGATTTGTAGGGTGCCAAACTACAGTCTCACTTCTGGAAACTTTGTGCCTCTTACCTTTAAGAAACTGTCTTAAAGAGGCTAATATTGTATTGGCTCAATATTCTCATGTGTCCATATTCTTAACTTGACTACTCCAAACTAAGAGAACCAAGTCAGAAATAGCCCTTTAGAACAAACGTGTTTCTGAAAATTAAAACACAAGACATTTGGGGGTCCAGGAGTATTTCTTCTCTGTATGCTTTTCTTGAAACACAGCCAAACAGGAAGATGTATTACAGGTACACAAAATGTGGAATGTCTAATTTTGTACATCTCATGATCAGGACATTCATTTCAGGCTATTATTTTGGGAAAAAAAGAGGATAATTCAATAGATCTTGATTTATAGAAGTTTCACCCTGCTTAAAAGTGGAGGGGGGAGAAATGGCTCAGGAAGAATCAGCAATTAAGAAGCGTGACAAATGACAGAGATGGCCAAGTGGTATTCTTTGATATTAGAAAGTAACTGTACTTGAAAATAACTTTCTAATTGAATAAGGGTATATTAGGAAAATATGATTCAGAACCAATATTAAAGTAATTAGATAAAGGAAGCATAAATGAAATAACCGCAGGAAGAATATTTCCATAGAGATTATAAATGAGATTCTGGTGGAGCAGAAAGGCCTTTAATTGTAATTTAGTGTGCACTATAGAATTATCAGCTCAGTGTGTTACTTCATCATATAAAAGAATATCTGATAATTTTCCCTAATAAGCACATGACAGCTCTTCATATTCCTTCGTTATAGCTGATTAAGTGTAAAAACAGTAGATATTCCTTTGTTGGAAAAAGAGTTCAAATCTTTTTAGAAAGACAGCGCAAGGCAGTTGCATTTTGATAGCATGTGACCCCAAAAGGCTCTTATTTAAGGAGTCTGGGGAATTGCAAGTGGCACTTTAAAGAACTCTTCACTTGAGTTTCTTTCGTCCTTCACTCTGCGTTCTCCCCCATTTTTACGCATGAAACCTCGTTCTGTAGAGCCACGCCCTCTTGGACTTCCGGCTGTGCCTTAGATAGTGGTGAGCTAAGGGAACGGGGAGTTTCTGCCACTGGGAGAGCCCTCTCGGCACTTCCGACAACTTAAAAGCATAGGGACACAGTCTCTTCCTGGTCCTCACCAGCTCCCAGTTATTCACTGACCCAGTGTGAGTCAAGAACACTGGGCCATTGCACTGTCACAGCCCCAGAGGTGAAGACAGAATCTAACTTGAGGCAAGAAATCTTCTCCCCGCCTCCTTCCCCAGTCAGCTAGCTTTGCTCTGCCCCACCTCCTTCAGTCCCAGAGTTCCTTTTTTTTTAGAGAGAGGGGTGGGGAGGGGGAGAGAGAGAGAGAATCCCAAGCAGGCTCACAGCCAACACAGAGCATGTCACAGGGCTCGCTCTCACGACCCTGAGATCACAACCTGAGCCAAAATCAAGAGTCAGATGCTCAACTGACTGAGCCACCCAGGCTCCCTAAGTCCCAGAGTTCTTATGAATACACAGGCTTGGTGAGAAAGAAGAGGATTGGTAATAGCTATGTAGGCTGGAGGCTCCAGAATTTCATACTTACTGCCCTGATGATTGAGGGTGGATCCTACACCAGAGTCAGTAGCAGCGTATTGGAAAGATATCAGCTTCTTCAGGGATGTTAAAAAAACAACAACAACAACAACAAAAAAAAAAAAAGAAAACATTGAAAGTAATGGCTGAATTATTTGCTTCATTTGCTCCAATCTGGCAACCAAGAGAGGAGGAAGGGGTCTCGATGTATCAACACACCACACTGGATTCCTTTTATGGTGTTCTCTCATTTAGTCGGCAGAGTAGCCCAGGAAGATAGAGCTTCCCAGGCCTGCGTGATAGATGGGCAATCCAGGCTCAGAGATGAGCGATAACCCACCTTTGGTCATTCAGACGGCCTGTGATAGAACAGCCAACATACAAACCCATGGTGTTCCCACCTTTAGGAGCTTTTAAAATGTACTTCGTGGGCTAGTACTGGCTCAGGGGACAATGGAATGGAAAGCTAAAATGAGTAAAGGGATTAAGAACTACAAAGTGGAAACCACGAACTCAGGCATGACTACATCACCCATTCCTGTCAGGTATTTGACAAAATAAAGGACTCCTTATTATGCTTCTTTGCTTTTTTGGGTTTTTTATGGGGTTTTGGGGGCCCATATGTGAAATGGAAATTATGCAAACTGATTCACAAAAAGCCTTCTTCCTTCTCAAAGAGGGGTGCTACACAGCACAAGAGGAAAAGCTTTTCAGCAACTCTGGTATTCACATCACATACGGTGCTACGGCCGGACAAAGTCAGACAGTCTGACCTTGGGGATAAGGTGTTTGAAACTGGCTAATGAGGCATGCCATAAGCACTGGAAAAAAAGCAAAAGCAGCAACCCCCTAAGAATTGAAATTAATATCCACAGCAGCAAAGCATGGTAGACTGGGTCATTCTCACAGGGTCAAATTAGACCTTGATGTCACGTCTCCACAGTTAACCTTAGGCTTGGCACGTGGCTGGAGCTCAGTACAGATGTTTGAATGGGCAAATGAATGAATTTAGGAACACACAGTTTCATTTCTTAAATTTTGTCAATTTGATCTTATAATAAAAAAAAGTTTTAGAGGGCTCTGGATGTTCTGAGGTAAAATAAAGCAAATGCTCAATTAAGCATAAGCATTCCTGTGGTCCTTTTCCTCTAGTAATTAGCCCCTTCCCAAATGAATGTAGTCTTCCCAAGGAAAGACATTCATTCAAAATGTCAATGTTAATTAGTCTAATTGAAGGGAAGCTTTTACGTTAAGATTGTTTGATCGATCAGTAGATATCAATCAATACATAGACACATCTGTGTGTTTATACATATTTAATAAGTTCTTCATCATTTAGCCTGCCTGGGGAACAAGGAATATTTCTAATTAGTCAAGTATTCTAGTTAATAAAGAAAGAGTTGACACACAGGGATTGTCATCTTACAAGAAATTGGGTTGTGGTCATACGCATTTAAACCCTGCAACATTGATCATCATCTTTGATGATGTAGAAGTCGCTTGAGCATCCTTCCGTGTCATAATCCACCATTGTAGAACATGAATATCATTTATCACTGTACCGTGGAATACGATGCTGTTGGTAAGAGATTTCTACCTGATAAAGTTTCAGCTATTTACCAACTGGACAGAGAGAGAGTATGTGTTAATCGTCAGCCTTGCTCCCAAAAGGATTTAAGATGGTAATGGTTATAATGATGACTTTACCAGCTTGTGGACTTAATTGTTGTTCCTTCCAGGAAGATCTCTAACACTTGGCTCAGCACTGGCTGGTTCACAATGACAATTGCACTGGAGCTCTGTGACAGGATCAATGTTTATGGCATGGTGCCCCCAGACTTCTGCAGGTAGGATTTATTCTGCAAGTGTAATTCATCTCAGCATTGTCATGCAGGGTTTATAAATATCTGACTCCAAATACCAACCATGAAACATGTCTAACTGTCTTCTTGAAGCAATTAATTAACATGTCCCAAGTTCTGGTTCTAGAAACAACAAACAGCATTTAATTATGTGATATAAAATATTGAAAGTTTTTGTTTGTACTGCTGGAGAATTAATCCATCTTGTGGGCTTCATTTATCCTCTGAATATTTATCAACCAAAAGTAATGCAATAATTGGCATAATACTAATGATGAGTAAGCATTAAAGAATATTAGTTTTATTCTCATTTGAAAGGAATAGGGTAATTTTTAATGAATTAAAGAGAGCCATTTCTTTGACAGTAAGGCCTGTTTTCTAAAATTAAAATATTGCTTTGAGCCTCTTTTCCTCCCCAGTAGCCTTGGTTTGTGCTTCTAAGTCAAAAAACACAGACATAATTATTATACCACTTTAAAGGGAACATACACACAGCTCTGCTGCTACCTTAAGTTCCCGCCTCGCACGTGCCCGGCCAGGGGTGTGTACCCACAGACGCCCTGAGGAAAACCTTAGGGCCTGATTTGTGGCAGCCTGATGGAAAATTCACCCATGATTTAAAGTAGCAATGCCGGTACATTCAGAAAGTACCCTACTTTTCAGGAATGCCTGATGACCTGCATATGGCCCCCACCCTGATCTTCAAATGGCAAAACCGGGGGTGGGAGCATTTTGAACTTGCTCATTAAAATGTATTCTTACTTATACCTTCGTGTGTTTGAAACCTAATGACTTCTTGAAGGCCATAGGCATTTTACACAGAATCTGCAGTTTGGAGGTTGGATGCAAGGACAGGAAAGGACTTAATCATGCTGATTTACCACTTTGCCACTTTTCTCCCACTCTCTTTAACCCAAAGACCCAACACAGCAGCAGTACCAGTTTGTATGTGAGAGGGCACAGAAGAGAAGGTTGGACAGAAGAGGCCTTTGATAGTTGCCGAGACTCACTGGTCCCCAGGAATGACTTGATGTGTAAGGAAGAGTGTGCGTTCTGAGGTCAGCTCCAGTCAGCTCTGCCTGGCCACTTCCTAACCGAGTGTGACCTTGAGCTACTTGTTCAGTCTCCCTGTGGCTCAGCTTCCTCCTCATTAGAAGTGGACGTGATGATACTGTAGACTCAGCCATGGGGTCGCCGGTGGATTAAACAAGTTAATACACATAAAATGCTTGGAACAGCGCCTCGCACATGGCAAGAGTTAGCTTGGATCCCCACCCATTCCCTCGTCACTTAACTCACTGGCCTTGTTTCCCTATTTAGCAATCCATGTACAGAGAGAAGGTAGGATAGTGTTAAAAAAAAAAAAAAAAAAAGCAAACTGCCTCCTCAACCCAACAGGCTAACAAAGGCAGTGGGAGCAGGTGCTTATGGGCACGCAAAGAGCCATCAAATTTGATAGCTATATGGCAGGTATAATTATGTAATATTGCCATTAGGACACCGGAGAGAAAGAGCATGAATAAATTGAAATGTTAATGACTTAGAGTGTTCAAGAAAATATTCCATTTATTATGGAAAACAAATGAAAGGCAAGTTAACCTGTCATTTCTCTTGCTCTGAGTTAGCTCATCACGACTTCACGTCCGTAGGAGGGAAACAGCTTTCAGGATGGTGCTAACGAGGGAGTCAAGAGACTATCAGTGTACCTTATGTTGCCACCGGCTCAGGCGGTCTGCTCCCCAGCCTCCATCCCAAAGGTTCAGTGGTTGCTCTCACAGCCTGCTTTCTCCAAGAACTCTTCGGGAGGATCCTTGTGCTCTGCGTGCTGTGAGAGCAAGTGGACAAGTGTGCTGGGTGTCGTGTGGCAGACACGGTTAGGCTGGAGAGAACAGCCTGTTCGGTGGTTATGCCTGTTCAGGGAGGCTAAGGAGGAAAGAACCAGGAGCAGCCCACACTCCCTCCCAAGTTCCTTTAACCTTTGTTTCCAGGACCAGTTAGCTGAACCACCCAGTTAGAAACCAGGTGACCTTGAGCCTTGCTTCCCTCATCTGCAAGATGGTAATAAGAAAGCAGTAATAAATGCCAGCAGGTCATGGTGAGGATTGAATGAGATCATGGATTGTAGAATGTCTGACACAGTGTCCCGCACACAGTTAGTGCTCAGGAAAGACTACTGGTATTATGAATATTACTAATAATTAATAGGATATTGTAAGATATAGAAAATAGTTATTAAGGTTTTCCTAAATACTTGAGAGTTGCCTCAAAAGGTACCAAGAACTTCAGCGGGGTTCAACGAATAGGACACAGCTCTTGCCTTCTAGAAACTCACTGTAAGCCTTATCCACACGAAAACGTGATGAACGCAACACAGCCTCTTGGAGTCAAATGACACTCGCAAGCAGTATCTGCCACCAGAGAATGAAAAAGCAACTTGTACGTCAGTCCTGCTACTCGTCTAGCCATTCCCCCTTTTGTTTTTATTTTGGAAGAAGTTGAGAAATATAAGGGCCAAGCAGGGTTCATGTGTCCTGAGCTCTAGGACTTAAGGAGGTAAGAGATCACCAGGACCTAGAAATGGCGGGGAAGGTTCTGGGAGATGGCAGAGCTCAGGCTGGTTGAGCCTGCTGCAATATAAACTCTCCAAGGGCCGTGATTTCCATGTGTTTTGTTCAGTGTTGGAGGCCGGGTGCGCAGGACCACAGATGTTTGCCATCCTCGTCTATAGCAGATGCTTCATAAACAGCAAGTCAATGAATAGCCCTGTCCTCTACTCTGTCCTTAGTGCTATAGTGAAAGGGTATTCATGGGGGTAAGAAAATAACCATTTCTGCTTCTCAGAAGCTGTATGACTTGGAGAAAGTTATTTGACTTTATTGACCTTAGTGATCTTGGGGAAGTTACTTACTATTTCTGAAGCGTTAGCTTCTATATCTGTAAGATGGTGAAGACAACAGTACTTACCTTAAGGGTTTATATGATAATCTCACAAGATAATAGATGAGGAAGGCTTGGCACACCCTTGGTGTATATTCAGCATGCACAAATTTATCAGGTGAAGGGCCGCGCTAATCTGCAAGTGTGGATGCCCATTAGCACGTTTTAAGGAGATGTCTAGCGAGCGGTAACAAATGATGCCCAGGCGGTGAGGAGAGCCTGGGTGCTAGAAAGGGAAGGACCTGTGTGGCCTCCTATATGAACGGGATACCACTTTTCTACCCCATTGGGAGTTGGTTGCACGTGGCCTCCAGCTCTCCCACAGGACATCACCCGGGGCGGCTCGAGTGAACCTGCCCATTCTGTTGCTTCATTAAAGCAGCCCAGTGTCTCACGAGACTGAAGGGTAAGGCACATGGGGCCAGATTTCAGCAAGCAAAAAGAAAGCCAACTGCTGATTTTTGGTAAATTAACTTTTTCAGACTTTAAGACACAACTAGTATCCTCAAAAGGGGTTATTTGTTAGATTAACCACAGAGACTTCGTTCCCTCAACCAACTCTTGTTGCGTGCTGAAGACATAATCAGAGATGAATAAGACAGGGTCTCTGCCTTCAGTCTCCCGAGTGTCACTTGGACAAAGTCAGTCAGAAGGGACAGAAGGCTCACAGGTACCTGTGGGAGGAAATCCTCACTGGCAGCTTGTCAGTGACCCGCAGCTTTACTCAAATATCCACCTCTGACTTCCTGCCAGACTCGGAGGGGTCCTTGCATCCCTCTGACCCTCCCAGGGGGACCAGGGGCAAGGAGCCAAGAGAGAATGACGGCTGAGCCCACCCATCCCCACTCCATCAAGAGCAAACCCACTTCTCTCTGGTTTATATCGGGGCTCTTCTCTAACAAGGGGTGGCCTGGCAAATAAGACCTTTGACAACCTCTGGTCTAAGCTACAGTCCTGCTGCTTTCCAATCTATGTCACATGGTCACGCACCTTTCAGGAGAATCTAATCATTGCCTTCTTATTGCCGGGGAAACCAAGGCACAGAGAGACCAAACACTGGGCTACTTCTGTGGTCATCCCTGTCAGCCTAAGGCAGCAGTGACCCAAAGGGAATGTCAGCCGCTATATCCATGGGATGAGGGAGGGGACAGAGGGGGCGAGGGAGTAGGGGACTAAATTTACCCAGCTAAGCCATCCATGAGTGACCGGTCCCCAAAATAAGGGTCGATAGGTTCGCCCCTACAAGCCTAGAGCTCCCAGTTTCCATCCAGCTCTCCCGGAGGTCTGGCCTCCCTACCCCTCCACCCAAAGGGCCTGAGTTGCTTCCAGGACTCATTCTTTGGAAAGAAAACCTCTACTGGCCCCTAAACTATTAAGCACATGGACTCCTCAGGAAGAACGATAGCCCCACATTCATATTTAAAACCACAGATAGGAGCAGCGGACATATAAATGGACGTGTTCCTCAAAACCTGGCCGAATCCAACAGTGAAAGTCATCTGACGAGCACGTAAGCCTTTCCCCTGTAGTTTGGTGTCGCGGTAGCTGCTGACTTCTCTCCCCAGCTCTGGGCTTTCTCTTTCCCCTCCAGACACCACAGTGCTCTGGGGAGAGCACACCTGCCTCTGTGAGCTTCACCCCTCAGTCGCGCCCCAGAGCTGTTAGAGCCTGGTTCCCACCCCCTCGCTTAGCACGCAGCCCTCCAGGACCAGGCTTGTGTCTCGGCTTTAGTCCCATCTTCTCTCCCCACACAGACTTCTTTTGGCCATAGGGAAAACTTACAAAGGCACTCACCCTGCAGACATCTGGCCTTTGGCCCTCGGCTTGGAATTTCCATCCCTTTCCTTCTTAATCTGGCTGATCACTGCTGGTTCTTTACAATACTATTCATGGCTGATAGTTTTCTGGACACAACACACGCTGGTCCTGCACTTAGTATGAATACATGCACCATTTCATGGAAGCTTTATGATAATCCCATGAGATCAACAGTATTCTCATCATCATTTCACATGTGAAGCTTAAAGACCTAAAACAGCCACCCAGGG